TCAGACAGATGGACGTAGTGATCACCATATCCCCCCCTGCATTATAAACTTGGTTGGTAGTGACAATAATAAATATAAAAAACTGTGACATGAAACAGTAAAGACAGCCCAAACTGCAGTTCTGTGAAAGGGTAATCGTGTTTAATGGTCTACAGTCATGGCCAGATTCATAATTTACTGCATCACAAAAAGCAGGCATGCGTTTGACAGAGCTATGAGAGATGCTGGTGCTATGCTGTAAAACTACACACTTCATAAATACAGCTACCATCGAAATATGCCAAAATCCTGAGAGGAAAAAAAAAGGAGTTTTAATCTAAACACATTTTATCTGCCAAAAACAAAAGAGAAAAAGAAGTAGTCCCTCTCTAAAAACTCTCTTGGTCAAAACTTGTATGAATACATTTCGGAGAAACACGGTTGATTCAAACACTCCTTCCATGGACAGAGTACTCTGTAAATAAATTACAAAAGCATCACACTTGTAAAAACAACACAACTCTCAAGCTTTACACTTCTTCATCCAAACTGAACAAACACTTTCTTTTCTTGAATCAGGCTGTACACACAAGGTTACATGTCATCACAATTCTCAACAGGTGTTAAGATTATTTTGAGCGGTACAAACTAAACACAGTTATATAAAAGTGCTCCATCGAGATTCGTGTTCCTTTTCCTTGTTGTGGAGAAATTTTAAGAGAAACGCTATAACAATATCTTCCAGTTTTGTTTTTAGAAATGCTTGCGCTCTACTCTTCGATTATGGGCCATAACTTTAGAGAAATGAGGGTGCACAGGTCATGGGTAGACAGGAATGTTGTTATTGGAAAAGGGTCTCCTCAGGCCCGGCAAACAAAAGGCAGATTCAGTCCATGTCCGAGCCTATTCATGCATTCATCCTGCGCTCATCAGTATTTGCCAAGCTCACACTGGGCGGTGATAAAGCCATTCTAATTACCGGGTTGTCCTTTTGAACCGGTCTGCTCCTGATCTGTTTTTTTTTTTTTAACATGTTTTGCTTAGTCATAGTTGGTTCTGCTTTTCAATTCCTTTGATCCCAATGTCCCATTGTCATTTCAAATGCAACTGTCTTCGTCATGCGGCGCCTCCTTCGGTTACGGTCAGTTGTTCTCTTGGGAAACTGTGGTCTCCTGATGAAAAAAGTGACAGAGAGAGTGAGACGATGAGGTCAGAGGTCAGTGAATTACACATTAGCTACAGCGTCTCTTAAGTACGTCCTCTTCAAGGCTAAACCTGGATAATACAGCACCTAATTGGTCATCTGTCCCAAATCCTCACCCTGGTACCACAACGATTCAAAGCTTTTGTGCGAGTGTTGAGTTAAGGTCATTGTGTACTCACGCTCACATACTTGTTTCTTCTACTATCTTATCGCCGCCTTTTTGTGTTGCAATATAACGCGCTAACTTGGGAGCGTGTTCAAGGTATGCTTATACAACTCGTAGATTTCAGATAAGGCCACTATTGTTGGCTGAAGCAGGCAGAGCTCCAACACTGCGGCTTCTCTCATTTCACCTTTTCACCTTTTTGTGTCGTTTTCATTCATGTCAAGTTTTTTGAGGTCGACTTTAAGAGAACGTTTCATATTTATTAAGGTTCATTATGAAATTATTATACTTTTTTCTCCATGAACATTAAAAAAACAGCTCTCACTTGTTCGTTGAGAAACTTTTCTTGCGCACTACAGCAACATTTCTCCTGAAACAGCAGCAGAATATGGAAACAAAGTGGAAACTTTCTCATAAAACCTCCGTCTTTTCCAGGGGTGCTGCTGTACTCAATGTGAGCAGCAGCACACTATTAAAAGTTCCCACATCCTGCTCACGAGGTGGTAAATTTCAGGGGGCGGAGGTGGTTGTGTGCGTTCAATTAAATGTTTTTCGTGATCCTGTGGGAGGTATTAAAAAGACACACTAAAGTGCCAGGTGTGTGCAAGTTATGTGATATATATATAGTGTACATTTGAGCAGTTAAATATATAAATATATATATATATATATATAAAGGTTAAGGTTAATATATGGATAAAAAACAAAAGAGGATTGATAGAATGAATCAGTCTGTTCAGGTGTAAAACTACAGTGACGTTACTTTAGGTTGTTAGTGTCTTGAGTGCAATGCTGATTTAAAAAGTTTTCTTATTTCAACATATTTATTGTCATAACATGACACATCTCTGGGTTTAACTTCCAACTATTTCATGAATCCCACCTACAGAATTTGACTTTAGCAAAGTTTGAAATTTCCTTGGTTACTTTGAATGTCATTGAATTTATGTTTTAAAGCTATAAAAATGAAATAAAGCCCCTTACAAAAGGAGTCCTCTCTCCATATTTGCTCCAGAATGTCATCTTGACAGTGTTCCTGTGGCCTGTCCGCTGGTCAAAGGTCTGGCACGCCTGGAAAGGGGGACTGTACAGATGCAAACTGACTGCACACTCAGTGTGGCTGACATTTTCCACACGATGCAGGCCCAGGGAGTCTACACACACACACACACACACACACGCACACAGGAACAAACAACATTTAAACAGAGTATGCCACTGGAATGCTGTGAAACGGGGCTCACAGGCCTCGACTGACTACAAACATCACACCAGGGCTCCGTAGACTGTGAAAATACACAGTCAGCAGAGAATTGGGGAGGGAGACCTGAATATTGTTCAGTGTGAAGTTACAACTGTCTGGTAACTGGGTC